ATTTTGGCCCACTCCTCTTGGCAGATCCTCTCCAAGTCATTAAGGTTTGGTGGCTGACGTTTGGCAACTCGAACTTTCAGCTCCCTCCACAGATTTTCCATCGGATGAAGGTGTGGAGACTGGCTAGGCCACTCCAGGACCTTAATGTGCTTCTTCTTGAGCCGCTCCTTTGTTGCCTTGGCCGTGTGTTTTGGGTCATTGTCATGCTGGAACAACCACCCATCCACCACCCATTTTCAATGCCCTGGCTGAGGGAAAGAAGGTTCTCACCAAAGATTTGAGGGTACATTGCCCCGTCCATCGTCCCTTTGATGTGGTGTAGTTGTTGTCCTGTCCCCTTAGCAGAAAAACACCCCCAAAGCAGAATGTTTCCACCACCATGTTTCACAGTTGGGATGGTGTTCTTGGGGTCATAGGCAGCATTCCTCCTCCTCCAAACACGGCGCTGAGTTTGATGAGTTGATGCCAAAGAGCTGGATTTTGGTCTCCTCTGACCACAACACTTCCCACCAGTCCTCCTCTGCATCATTCAGATGTTCAGTGGCAGACTTCAGACGGGCTGGACATGGGCTTTCTTGAGCAGAGGGACCGTGCGGGCACTGCAGGATTTCAGTCCTTGTCGGCGTAGTGTGTTACCAAATTGTTTTCTTGGTGACTGTGGTCCCAGCTGCCTGGAGATCATTGACAAGATCTCACGTCCTCAGTGTAGTTCTGGGATGATTCCTCACTGTTCTCATGATCATTGACACCCCACGAGGTGAGATCTTGCATGGTGCACCAGACCTAGGGAGACTGACACTTGTTTTGTGTTTCTTCCATTTTGTGAATGATTGCACCAACTGTTGTCACCTTCTCACCAAGCTGCTTGGCCATAGTTTGGTAGCCCAGTCCAGCCTTGTGTAGGTCTACCATCTTGTCCCTGACATCCCTTGGACAGCTCTTTGGTCTTTGCCATGGTGGAGAGTTTGGAATCTGATGGTTTGATGGCTCCTGTGGACAGGTGTCTGTTATACAGGTAACACAATGAGATTAGCAGCACTCCCTTTAAGAGACTGCTTCTAATCTCAGCTTGTTACCTGTATGAGAGACACCTGGGAGCCAGAAATCCTGCTGAATGATAGGGGATCAAATCCTTCTTTCCCTCATGAACATGCAGATCCGTCATCATTTGTTAGACGCATTTCTGCTGAATTTGTTGTTGTATTCTGTCTCTCAGTGTTACACCGAACATTCCATTGTTAGACCGATTTCTGTGTGTGAGGGGCGAACATTCCATTGTTTCTGTGTGAGGGGCAAACATTCCATTGAACATCATTCTGTGTGAGGGGCATTGTTAGACCGATTATCATTTCTGTGTGAGGGCAACATTCCATTGTTTCTGTGTGAGAGGCAACATTCCATTGTTAGACCGATCATTTCTGTGTGAGAGGGCGAACATTCCATTGTTTAGACCGATCATTTCTGTGTGAGGGCGCGAACATTCCATTGTTAGACCGATCATTTTGTGTGTGGGGGGCGAACATTCACCATCAGCAGGAGGGGGCAAATGCTTAGTTCCTTCACATTATATCTGGTAAGTTCTTTCCGAGATTTTCTCCACGGACCCCTAAATGCTCCATCCTCAATCTTCATGGTGATGTCATCCTCTTCCTCTTCTCCATGAAGATCGACGGACGGAACATTTAGGGGTCCTCCTGAGAAAATCACAGAAAGAACTTTAGAACCAGATATATGGATAATATAAGTTAAAGTACGTTTGATAAAATTGTGATGCTGAGCACCAGGGGGGAATTTCTTGGCTTCCTGAGGAGGATGTGACATCTCAGCGTCTGGGGACTGCGCGCCATGGGGAGGATGTGACATCTCAGTGACTGGGGACTGCGCGCCATGGGGAGGATGTGACATCTCAGCGACTGGGGACTGCGCGCCATGGGGAGGATGTGACATCTCAGCGACTGGGGACTGCGCGCCATGGGGAGGATGTGACATCTCACATCTCAGTGACTGGGGACTGCGTGCCATGGGGAGGATGTGACATCTCAGTGACTGGGGACTGCGCGCCATGGGGAGGATGTGACATCTCAGTGACTGGGGACTGCGTGCCATGGGGAGGACGTGACATCTCAGCGACTGAGGCTGTGTGCCATGGGGAGGATGTGACATCTCAGTGACTGGGGACTGCGCGCCATGGGGAGGATGTGACATCTCAGTGACTGGGGACTGCGTGCCATGGGGAGGACGTGACATCTCAGCGACTGAGGCTGTGTGCCATGGGGAGGATGTGACATCTCAGTGACTGGGGACTGCGTGCCATGGGGAGGACGTGACATCTCAGCGACTGAGGCTGTGTGCCATGGGGAGGACGTGACATCTCAGCGACTGGGGACTGCGTGCCATGGGGAGGATGTGACATTTCAGCGAATGGGGACTGCGCGCCATGGGGAGGACGTGACATCTCAGCGACTGGGGACTGCGTGCCATGGGGAGGACGTGACATCTCAGCGACTGAGGCTGTGTGCCATGGGGAGGACGTGACATCTCAGCGACTGGGGACTGCGTGCCATGGGGAGAACGTGACATCTCAGCGACTGGGGACTGCGCGCCGTGGGGAGGACGTGACATCTCAGCGACTACTCTGTGCGCCATGGGGAGGACGTGACATCTCAGCGACTGGGGACTGCGTGCCATGGGGAGGACGTGACATCTCAGCGACTGAGGCTGTGTGCCATGGGGAGGACGTGACATCTCAGCGACTGAGGCTGTGTGCCATGGGGAGGACGTGACATCTCAGCGACTGAGGCTGTGTGCCATGGGGATGACTTTATAGTTCACACATATATCTTACAATTTCTGGGTTTACTCTGATGATGGAGTTCATCCAGTAATCAATATAACCCGTCACCCAACCCCTGACCTAATCCCCGATACTGACACAACCCCTGACCTAATCCCCGATACTGACCCAACCCCCGATACTACCCCAACCCCTGACCTAATCCCCGATACTACCCCAACCCCCGACCTAAACCCCGATACTATCCCAACCCCCGACCTAAACCCCGATACTATCCCAACCCCTGACCTAATCTCTGATGCTACCCCAACCCCTAACTTAATCCCGATATTAACGCAACCCCTTACCTAATCCCCGATAGTAACCCAACAGCTGACCTAATCCCCAATACTACCCAACCCCCGACCTAATTCTAAATTTCTTTTGTGAAGTGGCTAATGAAGGGAGAGCTTACCCGCCTGTCAGGGCAGCACTAGTGGTAAGGAGAGGTTCCAGAGGAGTAGGGAAAGATCATGGCCTACATCTACACTTCTGCAAGCGCCCTCTTGGGTTGGACTGGCCACTCGGCACTCCATCTCTCTCGGCAGGTGCTACCTTCAGCTTGGGCCTATAACTGCTGACTCTCCCCTGCATTCCTGGACAGGCGTTGTCCCCAGCAGGCTGTTGTACTTGTTCTGCAGGTTCTTTGATATGTTGGTGTTTGCAGCCCGGGCCTCAGTGTCATTACTGCCACCACACCACACTGCACCTACCCTACAACTGGCTGGAAAAGTAAGGGAGAAAGGGTTTTCAAAGAGAGCACTTAGGACAATACTCATCCATCTGTGGAGGCCCTTAAGACCTGAGAGTATATGCATTCATGGGCCTGTGACCTCAGGTCCTGACATGTTGTTCGGACTCAGTAAGGGTTATTTTGTCCTCGGGGTCCACTGTGGTTGAGAAGGAAGCAATCACAAAAAATGCAGATTGGCAGAGAGATCTAGACCTAGAGATTGGAATCAGTTCTTATCATCCATAATTGCGTAGGCTTCACAGTGGGTAACTTGGCGGTCAAACTGGAGTTTAAAGGGAAAGCCCCACCGATACTTGATATGTTGTGATTGCAGGATCAGAAGCAATGGCTTCATGGCTCTTCTGTTGAGAATTTTGGATTGTGGAATGTCTGCACAGATTTGGTAAGTATGCCCTTGGAAAGATAAGTCCTGAGCATCCCGCGTGGCCTGAAGTACTTTCAGAAGAAATGGAATTGTAGAACCATGTCTCTGGGGGGCCATTTGCTAGCCTGTGAGTAAGAGCTCGGTGAACGAGATCCAGCCATAGGCAGTTGACCAGAACATCAGGGACCAGTTTTTGCAGCAGAGCAAAGATCGAGCTGTGGAGGTGAGCTATGCTTTTCTGGAAGGCCTCAAATTCTGATGTTGCTGCAGTGGGATCTATTTTCTGCATCTTCGAGATCTCTCTGCAGTTCCTCAAGAACATTTTAATGGCCATCAAAAACAATTGTGGCACCGTCCATGTGATTTTCCAGAAGGACTGTGTGCTGGCCCATAGCCCAGATATCTTGTCTAAGATCAGAGGAGAGTTTCTTCACAGTGGTGGTAAGCTTGTCTTTCACAATTCACCTGATTTTCAAGCCAGGAGGTGTCTGGTTCTGGTGGGAGAAGGACAGAGGGAAACTGTTGCAGGCTGCCGAGAGAGCTATTAGAGTCCTCCATAGATTGGAGCACGTTTTCGTCCTTCGGAGGGCTCTGTGCTGTCATCTTGGCTGCAGTCCTGGGATGAGGTTTCAGGGTAGAAACCAGCTTTACTTTCGTTTTGCCTGGCTGCCCCATGTTACAAGGAGGATCTCACCACCTCGGAAACGCAGAGGAAGATTCGTGAATATTTACAGCTCAGGAGATTGCCATAAATGCCCCGGATGTGCAGAGCTGGGCTAGAGTGCAGCCATTCAGGTCATCTGTGCGCATGCGCTCCCATTTGAAAACCTTTTCAGTACCATCATAGTAGCTTAATTATGTACAGTCTCGAGGACAGGAGAGAAAGGATGGACATGACTAGTTTTTACAAGCACCTGAAGGTAGTGGAGGTTTAGGAGGACAATCCATGAAGGTCAGCATGTTACATAGACTGTAGAAGCTGCAGGAGCACAGACTGTCTGTGATCTGATAGAGGTGGAACAATATTTCCTTCCTCCGTTTTTTTTGGTACAAATAACTTTATTTATTTATATTTTAGGGGCTTTGAGGGTCACAATGAGGACATCAGTTGTACCAGTACTCAGGGACAAGGATGTCACCATTTACTGCGATATATCTGGCCTAAATACCGGGAGAGCCATTGCTGTACTATGGAGAAGGACATCAGAGAACGGCACTGAACACGATGTGTATGAATACAATGAAGGAAAAGTGACTGTATTCAGATCAGGATGTACCATGGAGAAGATGGAGATCCTGAAAGGAAACGCAGAGCTGCACATCCCCAGGTCCAGTTCTCCGATGAGGGGGATTACACCTGTACAGTGATAAATACTCCGGAGAAAGAGAGGAGGGTAGAGTTACCCTACAGGTGTCAGGTGAGTGACAATGACATTGCCCCTCCCTTCCCCATACTGAGTTATATGGCTCTAGGGTTGATTTACTAAGAGAGCTGAGAGTGTTCTCTCAATAAACTGTAGCTGGGTTCACTTTGAATATCCAATCACACTCACCGGCCACTTTATTAGGTCCACCTTGCTAGTCTGGGTTGGACCCCCATTTGCCTTCAGAACTGCCTTCATTCTTCATGGAATAGATTCAACAAGGTGTTGGAAACATTCCTCAGAGACTTTGCTCCATATTGACCTGAGTTACTGTTGCCTTTCTGTCATCTCCAACCAGTCTGCCCATTCTCCTCTGACCTCAACAAGGCATTTTCCTCCACACAACTGCTGCTCACTGGATATTTCCTCTTTTTCGGACCATTCTCTGTAAACCCTAGAGATGGTTGTGCGGGAAAATCAGGAGATCAGCAGTTTTTGAAATACTCAGACCAGCCCGCCTGGCACCAACAACCACGTCACGTTCAAAGTCTTCTGCAAGATGTCTTCACCACGTCTAGATGCATAAATGCATTGAGTTGCTGCCGTGTGATTGGCTGATTAGCAATTTGTGTTACCAAGCCATTGAACAGGCGGACCTAATAAAGTGGCCATTGAGTGTATGTGCAGATAAAATAAATAATCTGGAATTTTTTCTTATATCATTGGAACATTGAAGTGATCTTTCCTGAGAGAACTTTCTCTCCTTCTTTAGTAAATCAGCCCTTATGGGGAATTTCCCCCAGAGAAGTCCTCCTTCTAGTGGTGGATGTGAGAGACTAGAGGGAGCCCAATAACCACATCTACTGCCGAAAGGGGTCTCCTGTGCCTTCCATCTGATCCACCATTACAATGGATTCTTCTTGGTATTATCTGCACAGTCTGTGGATGTGTATTATTTGCAGATTAGAACACTAATGATTATTCTCTGTACAGTTCCTCCATCAGCTTACATGACACCAAACGATCTGACCATCGAGTCGGGGTCAGAGAAGACGGTGACGTGTGAAGTTCATACCTTTTACCCAAAAGATATTTCCATACGCTGGGGTCAGTATCGTAAGGGATCATCTGACTGTGAGCTCCTAGAGATCTGGACCTGTGTGAAGAATGTGCTTATTAATTCAGACGGGACGTACAATGTGACAAGTCTACTGACCCTGAACCCCAAGAAAGAGGATGATGGGAACACGTATTCCTGTATTATCAGCCACCGATCTCTGCGGACTGAACTGTCCTGGAATCTCACCCTCACAGTCACAGGTCAGTAATATCTCTTATTATTTTACATACCGTAGACTTCTGAAGAACTAACTCTACCCGTCTGTCACAAAGCAGGTGAGATGTTTGGTTGGGTGAAGTTCCCAGACTCCAAGCACCAAGATTTGCCACCAATTCCCCTCCAGGAAACATCAATTCACTCACACTGGTGGCACAACCACACCTCCCAACTTTTTGAGATGGGAACAAGGGACACCTACTAGAAAAAGTGTGTAGGCATAGGACACCCCCCACCACACCCCTTAACCACTTTCCTACAGGGCGCTTATACCCCCTTCTTGCCCAGGCCGATTCTCAGCTTTCAGCGCTGTCACACTTTGAATGAGAATTGCGCGGTCATGCAACACTACCCATATGACATTTTTATCTTTTTTTCACACACACAGAGCTTTCTATTGGTGGTATGTACTTCCCGCTGGGGGTTTTATTTTTTCACTATAAACAAAAAAAGCAAAAAAAAAAAAGTTTTTCTTTGTTTCTATTATAAAATTTGCAAACAGGTAATTTTTCTCCTTCACTGATCTGTGTTGATGAGGCTGCACTGATGGGCACTGATGAGGTGGCACAGATAGGCAGCACTGATAGGAGGCATTGATAGGCGGCACTGAGCTGGCACTGATGGGTGGCACTGAAGGGCACAGTTGGGTGGCGTTGCTGGGTGGCACTGCTGGGCACAGGTGGGTGGCACTGCTGGGTAGCATTGCCGGGCACTGCTGGGAACAGGTGGGTGGGCACTGCTGGGTGGCATTGCCGGGCACTGCTGGGACCGGTTGGGTGGCATTGTTGGGTACTGCTGGGCACAGGTGGGTGGCACTGCTGGGCACAGGTGGGGTGGCATTGCTGGGTACTGCTGGGTGGCATTGCTGGGCACAGGTGGGTGGCACCGCTGGGCACTGCTGGGTGGCACAGCTGGGCACTGATGGGTACAGGTGGGTGGCACAGGTGGGCGGCACTGCTGGGCACTGATCAGCAGGCCCTCATCTCCTCTTCTGTCTGTAGACGTCCTGCAGCCTCTCACACATTTCCTCTCCTCATGGACAGAACATTCACTGACCCCTGCAGATATCAAGTATTGGCCAGCTTCTCTTCCATAGTAGCAGCCAGTCACAGGCTTACATCTCTCCCTTCTGTCCTCAGACACTTCCTCACTTGCACAGGCAGGTAGGCAGCATTGGTGTCACTTCAGATGGTGTCAGCTCTCTCAACATCTTCAGGGACCTGCAGCTGATACAGAGCACCTTCAGACTCCTTCACAGTCCAGCAGGACCCAGTATGAGGTATCCTCATCACAGATCCAGGAAAGGGGAGTCCTCTCTGATACACTGAGCTGCCCAACATACATAGGAATTCACCTTACCCCTTTTGGTCCACCTGCCAACACCAGTTTAGCCAAGAGAAGTACTGCCTTCCTTTCAGAAACTTCCACCAATCAGTGATGGACCACAGAAGGTTTTCGGACCTCCCTAGACCTATCCTGTCTGAACAAACCAGAAGTCTTCATCCCTTCCTCTCTCTTGTAATCTGTTTTATTCCCCCCATCAACTTTATCTAAAGAAGAACTCCGACAACACCCCCTGCTATACGATAATGGGAACAAAGTGACAGGTCCTCATTATCAACATTTCAAGGGATCTGGGTAATTATGAGGTCCATCTTCTCCATCCTTTTCCCCAGGAATACCTTCTCTCTGGGGCATTGGAGTAATCCCTAGAAATGTGGGAGGCATCACTCCATTACTGGAAGCATCTCCTGGATGCATGGGCTATGGTGCCGTCACTTCTCTGATCCTCTAATATTTCTGTGATCTGGAATTCATCCTCGTGTACCTGAGGAACTTCTACCTAAGGTCTGTCCTAATGTTCCTGACCAGATACACAGCATAGTCTATCTACTGAGAGTTCCCTCATCTGGGACATGGGGGGAGCCGTTTTTCCCTCAGACACACCATACAATCGTCCTGTAGAGTGTCTGGCGAGGTTGGGTGGGGTCTCAGTTCGGATACAATCAGACGGAAATAATTGAGGTTTTCATCCTTGGAAAAGTTTCTGCTTCCAGATCATGTTTTGTCCTTTTATATTACAGAGAAACAAGATAACATCGGAACCATTATCACCGCTGTGGTCGTGACAATTCTGTGCACATTATTTCTGGGACTTTTGGTTTTCCTCTACTTCAGATTTGTAAAGAAAGGTAAGGAATGTACGCGGTTACTTCACCATCCAGATTCTGGTTGCCGTGTTGTACTGTCTGTGCTGGGATTGTTCCAGGACATAAGAACTCAGCTGATTGTGTGTTGTAAGAGCCGTCAGTCATTCTGGACGTTCCATTTATACTGGTGACCTCGCTGGGCTTCCATAGTGACCATGTCTCCGTCTGGTGGAATCCAGCTAACAAGACCATTACCTTTGTGGTGCCCAGAGCACCTCATACCCGACAGGTTCAGTATCAGAGACATCTTAATTATTTGCATTTCAGTTTCTGTGAATAGAATGTTCTGTACTGGGGGGGGGGGGGGGGTTGGGGTGGGCTTAGAATTTATTAAAGGGATTTCCCCTTATGATGACTTTTTTGTTATTTATAAGTTTTCTGGTAACTTTTGATTAATTTTTAGTTTTATATGTTGTATCTACCCCCTATGGCCTCCATCAGAGGAGATTCTATCCATTGTCCTGGGATCGGTCACATAGTAAATGTAATAATCCATTCGATGATTTCCTCTTCCAGATCCTCCCACTCTCTCTGAGATCACCGGAAACAACGAGCTGATTGACATGAACAGGACGACTCTGACTTGTCAGATTATGGACTTCAAACCCAACGACAAGAAATCCTTGTGTGTATGAGGAGATCTGAGGAGGAGGAGATGAAGACCATCTACACCTGGAGGTCTGGAGGTCACCCCCCGCTCAGGTCAGGATAAGGAGAGATGATGGTGGAGAGGATGAAGATGTTATAGATATGGAGGAGGGGAAACAACTGATGAACGGCTCTCCAAGACATGAGGACAGACCTCTACAGCTGGAGATGGACCCTATTATCAGTAAGAAGAAGCTTGGATCATTCAACTGTCAGTGTTCTCTCCATATAACTCCCAGCTATGACCTGCATAATGGAGCGGAATTATCTGTCCAAGTAAAACACTCGGCACTGACATCTCTGACCTCGGTACGCAGGACACTCAACGTCATCGGAGGTGAGACTCTTCTCTTCTACATGAAATGGATTCTTTATGATGTTCTCACATTTCTGGTCATCACTTGCAGTGATCGACCTCCTAGGGGGCAGTAGTGGGCTTGATTGGGGTAGGAAGGATCTTATTATTTCGGGGATATTTCTAGCTTATTGGGATCCTCCCAGGGAAAAGGGCCCCCTCCTTCCTAGTACTACATAGAAGAGGGGAGCATGGGGAGCACCAGGAACAACCATCTGAATCACGTGCCCAGCTTCATGAAAACTGGAAGATGGTGTCTGGGTGAACTGCTGAGATCACTTACATTTCAAATTTTGTTCTCACCTTTTTCATCCTTTGGTCCCTCCCACTTCCTGTCTCCATACACCCCAGTGATGGCCCGTGGCATTTCTCAGGGTGGGATTCCTGACGGGTGACAACAGTGTGGACCGTGTCTGTGTCATTTGTGCAGCCACTTCCTGTCTCCATACACCCCAGTGATGGCCCCGTGGCATTTCTCAGGGTGGGATTTCTGACGGTGACAACAGTGGACCGCGTCTGTGTCCTGTGTGGGAACAGCCACTTCCTGTCTCCATACACCCAGTGATGGCATTTCTTGGGGCAGGATTTCTGACGGTGACAACAGTGGACCGTGTCTGTGTCATGTACGGGAACAGCCACTTCCTGTCTCCATACACCCCAGTGATGGCCCCGTGGCATTTCTCAGGGTGGGATTTCTGACGGTGACAACAGTGGACCGCGTCTGTGTCCTGTGTGGGAACAGCCACTTCCTGTCTCCATACACCCCAGTGATGGCATTTCTTGGGGCAGGATTTCTGACGGTGACAACAGTGGACGTGTCTGTGTCATGTACGGGAACAGCCACTTCCTGTCTCCATACACCCCAGTGATGGCCCCGTGGCATTTCTCAGGATGGGATTCCTGACGGTGACAACAGGGGACCGCGTCTGTGTCATGTACGTGGGAACAGACACTTGTATTCTCCATTTATAAGGGGGAAAAGGGGAGACTGCCCTGGGCCCCCTGACATAAGGGGCCCCCTCTATACAAAACCAACATACAACAATACTAAGAAATTATGAAAAAAAAAATAAAATATAAAATGTAGAATAACAAGAAATGACTTTTATAGGTACTTATATAATGCTGTCAATGGACGCAGTGCTTTACTTGTATACTGTACATTCTCATCAGTCCCCGCCCCCGAGGAGTGTACAATCTAATGTCCCTAATTCACATTCATACATATATGATTAACCACCCAGCATGTCTTTGGACTGTGGGAGGAGACTGGAGTACACCCACACAGGCACAGGGAGAACATGCAAACTCCAGGCAGGTGGCGCTGTGGTTGGAATTTGAACCGACAACCCCAGTGCTGCCAGAAGGAAGTGCTAACCACTTGGCCACTGTGCTGCCCGTATTAAAAGCATCTTGGGAAGTAATGTTTTACCCTGGACTGTTACATTGTTATATCGTTACATAGTTAGTCTGGCAGAAAAAAAAGACAAAAGTCCATCCAGTTCAACCATTAAAAAAAAAAAAAGTTATAATCCTCCACCCACAGATGATCCAGAGGAAGGCAGAATCCCAGCAAAGCACGATCCAATCTGCTCCTGCAGGGGAAACATTCCTTCCTGAGGCAACTGGATATTCCCTGGATCAATAATAGGATATTCCTTGGATCAATATTCAGATATTCCCGAGATCAATATTAGGATATTCCCGAGATCAATAGTTGGATATTCCCCAGATCAATAGTTGGATATTCCCCAGATCAATAGTTGGATATTCCCCAGATCAATAGTTGGATATTCCCCAGATCAATATTCGGATATTCCCGGGATCAATAGTTGGATATTCCCGAGATCAATATTCAGATATTCCCGAGATCAATATTAGGATATTCCCGAGATCAATAGTTGGATATTCCCCAGATCAATAGTTGGATATTCCCCAGATCAATAGTTGGATATTCCCCAGATCAATATTCGGATATTCCCGGGATCAATATTCAGATATTCCCGGGATCAATATTCAGATATTCCTGGGATCAATATTCATATATTCCCGGGACCAATATTTGGATATTCCCGAGATCAATAGTTGGATATTCCCCGGATCAATATTAGGATATTCCCGGGATCAATAGTTGGATATTCCCGGGACCAATATTAGGATATTCCCGGGATCAATAGTTGGATATTCCCGGGATCAATATTAGGATATTCCCGGGATCAATAGTTGGATATTCCCGGGACCAATATTAGGATATTCCCGGGATCAATAGTTGGATATTCCCGGGATCAATATTAGGATATTCCCGGGATCAATATTAGGATATTCCCGGGATCAATAGTTGGATATTCCCGAGATCAATATTAGGATATTCCGGGATCAATATTCAGATATTCCCGGGATCAATATTCAGATATTCCCGGGATCAATATTCATATATTCCTGGGACCAATATTTGGATATTCCCGAGATCAATAGTCGGATATTCCCTGGATCAATATTCGGATATTCCCGGGATCAATATTCGGATATTCTCGGGATCAATATTCGGATATTCTCGGGATCAATATTCAGATATTTCCCGGATCAATATTCGGATAGTCACCGGATCAATATTTGGATTTTCCCGGGATCCACTTTCCCTATAAATGTTATATTGTATCATTTCTGAAGACGTATTTTGGCAGCTGGGGCGGGTACACGGGCTGGGTTTAGACTGTACTGTACACGGGTGGGGTACACGTGGGCTGGGTTTAGACTGTACACTGTACACGGGTGGGGTACACGTGGGCTGGGTTTTAGACTGTACACGGGTGGGGCACACATGGGCTGGGTTTTAGACTGTACACGGGTGGGGCACACATGGGCTGGGTTTAGACTGTACACGGGTGGGGTACACGTGGGCTGGGTTTAGACTGTACACGGGTGGGGCACACATGGGCTGGGTTTAGACTGTACACGGGTGGGGCACACATGGGCTGGGTTTAGACTGTACACGGGTGGGGTACACGTGGGCTGGATTTATACTGTGCACTGTACGTGGGCGGGGGCACACATGGGCTGGGTTTAGACTGTACTGTACACGGCGGGGCACACCGGGGCTGGGTTTAGACTGTGCACTGTACATGGGCGGGGCACACGTGGGCTGGGTTTAGACTGTACATGGGCGGGGCACATGTGGGCTGGGTTTAGACTGTACATGGGCGGGGGCACTCTTCTTTCCTGTCACTTTGTACAGAATACCCCATCAGGTGCAAAACCCCAAAACATACGTTCTTGCTTGGCCATGATTGGACGATGGGAATCATCAGAGCTCCGCCCCATTCCTGAAGTTCTGGGGAAAGTGCGCAGTCTATCTGCCTTCAGTAAACCAACTAAGGAAGGGGGCTGATGACTCTGCGTGTGTGTGTGTGTGTGCACGCATGACCTTAGAATGTTGTTTTGTCATGCCTATTAACCCCTTCCCATCCAGCACATGTACATAAACAGCCGGCAGTGCAGGAGCGGGTTGCCGTTTATAAACGTCCTCCCGCATCCATTGCTTGTGGGCGCTCCCTGGGAGTGCGCAGCACCGCGATCCAGTTCCCACTCTATCCTCCGGACACAGCTGAACACCGATCACTGTATGGGACCTCTGTGTGAGATCCCGATCATGTGATCACTGATTGGCCAATCAGTGATCACATGAACAGTGTGACGGGAGTGACTTTTGGGGTTGGGGGGGGGACCTCTGTGTCAGCTCATGTTCCCCCCATTATGTTTAACCCACCCTGTGCCTGTTTAGGGGTACAGGGTGTGAATGTTGGAGTATTGTGTATTGGTGTGGGGGTTGTCCATTGTTCACTGGCACATGCTACCTCCCATTGTTCTATTGTGTCTTCCTGGCCAGCAAACTATTATGGGATGTACTGTTTGTGTATTGGTGTGGGGGTTGGTCAATGTCCTTTGCCACATGGCTGCATCCTATTGTTCTGTGTCTTGGTTGGATGGGGCTGGTTGATGATGTGTTTCCTGCAGCCCTCCCACTGATGGTGCGGGCTGATGTGTTTCCTGCAGCCCTCCCACTGATGGGGCGGGCTGATGAGGTGTTTCCTGCAGCCCTCCCACTGATGGGGTGGGCTGATGATGTGTTTCCTGCAGCCCTCCCACTGATGGGGCGGACTGGAAGGGGGGAAGTGTCCGGACTGGAAAGGGGGGGGGGGGGAAGTGTCTGGACTGGAAGGGGGGGGTAACGGAACCGGACCCCGACTGCACTTGGGTATTTCCATTAAACTCCCAATTCCCCGTCCGAACACCGACCATGGACACCACCGCTGATCATACGAAACTAGATGACACCAGTCTTGAAGGAAACCAGGAAATAGACTACTTTATTGTAACACAGATACAAGATATATACATTCAAGGGAACAATCCCCCCTCTCTACACAGGGCGGGGCAATCCACACCCATTAACAAGAGACACACCAGCTGACAGTCCCATCAGGGGGAGGGCTGCTGGAGACACTGCCCTCCAAGCCAATACACAAACACATACATCCCATAATAGTTTGCTCCCAAGCAAGACACACAATAGAACAATGGGATACAACCACATGACACCAAACAATCCACAACCCCCCCCCCCCAATATTAGGACAGATCACCCTGTACCCCTAACAGGCACAGGGGGACTTACACATAATAGGGATATGGGGAGCTGACACAGGGGTCTCCCCACCTCTCCAAAGGGGGCTGTGCTCAATGGGCCCCCCACCCAAAGTGAGCTGTGTTCCATGCGCCCCCCACCCAAAGTGAGCTGTGTTCCATGGACCCCCACACAAAGTGAGCTGTGTTCCATGGACCCCCACACAAAGTGAGCTGTGTTCCATGCGCCCCCACCCAAAGTGAGCTGTGTTCCATGGGCCCCCACCCAAAGTGAGCTGTGTTCCATGGGCCCCCACCCAAAGTGAGCTGTGTTCCATGGGTCCCCACCCAAAGTGAGCTGTGTTCCATGGGCCCCCACACAAAGTGAGCTGTGTTCCATGCGCCCCCACCCAAAGTGAGCTGTGTTCCATGCGCCCCCACCCAAAGTGAGCTGTGTTCCATGCGCCCCCACCCAAAGTGAGCTGTGTTCCATGGACCCCCACACAAAGTGAGCTGTGTTCCATGGACCCCCACACAAAGTAAGCCGTGTTCCATGGACCCCCACCCAAAGTGAGCTGTGTTCCATGCGCCCCCCACCCAAAGTCACTCCCGTCACAATCTTCATGGCAGGATCACCAGGAATTGTTTTTGGAATGAAAGCTGCAGATATACAATTAGAATTGCCGGGAGGGTGTCACCACGACTAGGAGGTGTTAGTGGGCGGGGTTAGGGATCCTTTCTGCATTGAGGCTTTATGTATTTACTGAACAAATGTATCCATTCTCTTACTTAGTCCCTCCCAAGTTGTTGTCCATCATGTGCCCAGAACGTGTCATCCATGAGGAGCAGCTGACACTGAGCTGTCCAATCAATGGCTTCAAACCGCGAGCTTTGTCCATCACCTGGCTGAAGAGGAACAAGGACAACCGAGAGACCGATCTGGTGACATGGAATGCTGGGAGTGACACCACTCACACTGAGAGATATTCACACTTTCTAAAGAAACATGAACATGACGATAACTCCTACAGCTTTATCAGTGCTCTGACCATGAAACCAACGGTGACAGAAGATGACGGAGCGACATATATCTGTAGAACCTTCCACCCTGCTACACATCACCAGGAGGAAACGGAGCAGATCCTCAATGTGACCGGTGAGTAATGACACAAGGATGGTGTTACCTTCCCCTCATTCCTGGGTGCAGGCTGGGGGGTTATTCAGTCCAAACCCCCCCCCCCAATCAGAGAGAAAACTGGGAGAGTAGTGTGGAGGTGTGACAGTGATCGGTATGTACAGGAGAGGAGTGTGGAGGTATGACAGTGATCGGTATGTACAGGAGAGGAGTGTGGAGGGTATGACAGTGATCGGTATGTACAGGAGAGGAGTGCGGAGGTATGACAGTGATCTGTATGTACAGGAGAGGAGTGTGGGGGTATGACAGTGATCGGTATGTACAGGAGAGCAGTGTGGGGGTATGACAGTGATCGGTATGTACAGGAGAGGAGTGCGGAGGTATGACAGTGATCGGTATGTACAGGAGAGGAGTGTGGGGGGTATGACAGTGATCGGTATGTACAGGAGAGGAGTGTGGAGGGTATGACAGTGATCGGTATGTACAGGAGAGGAGTGTGGAGGGTATGACAGTGATCGGTATGTACAGGAGAGGAGTGTGTGGAGGGTATGACAGTGATCGGTATGTACAGGAGAGGAGTGTGGAGGTGTGACAGTGATCGGTATGTACAGGAGAGGAGTGTGGAGGTGTGACAGTGATCGGTATGTACAGGAGAGGAGTGTGGGGGTGTGACAGTGATCGGTATGTACAGGAGAGTAGTGTGGGGGTGTGACAGTGATCGGTATGTACAGGAGAGGAGTGTGGAGGTGTGACAGTGATCGGTATGTACAGGAGAGGAGTGTGTGGGGGGGTGTGACAGTGATCGGTATGTACAGGAGAGTAGTGTGGGGGTGTGACAGTGATCGGTATGTACAGGAGAGGAGTGTGGGGGGTATGACAGTGATCGGTATGTACAGGAGAGGAGTGTGGGGGGTATGACAGTGATCGGTATGTACAGGAGAGGAGTGTGGGGGGTATGACAGTGATCGGTATGTACAGGAGAGGAGTGTGGGGGGTATGACAGTGATCGGTATGTACAGGAGAGGAGTGTGGGGGGTATGACAGTGATCGGTATGTACAGGGGAGGAGTGTGGAGGGTATGACAGTGATCGGTATGTACAGGAGAGGAGTGTGGAGGTATGACAGTGATCGGTATGTACAGGAGAGGAGTGTGGAGGTATGACAGTGATCGGTATGTACAGGAGAGGAGTGTGGAGGGTATGACAGTGATCGGTATGTACAGGAGAGGAGTGTGGAGGTGTGACAGTGATCGGTATGTACAGGAGAGGAGTGTGGAGGGTGTGACAGTGATCGGTATGTACAGGAGAGGAGTGTGGGGGGTGTGACAGTGATCGGTATTACAGGAGAGGAGTGTGGAGGTATGACAGTGATGGGTATGTACAGGAGAGGAGTGTGGAGGTGTGACAGTGATCGGTATGTACAGGAGAGGAGTGTGGAGGTGTGACAGTGATCGGTATGTACAGGAGAGGAGTGTGGAGGTGTGACAGTGATCGGTATGTACAGGAGAGGAGTGTGGAGGTATGACAGTGATCAGTATGTACAGGAGAGGAGTGTGGAGGTGTGACAGTGATCGGTATGTACAGGAGAGGAGTGTGGGAGGTATGACAGTGATCAGTATGTACAGGAGAGGAGTGTGGAGGTGTGACAGTGATCGGTATGTACAGGAGAGGAGTGTGGAGGTATGACAGTGATCAGTGTGTACAGGAGAGGAGTGTGGAGGTGTGACAGTGATCGGTATGTACAGGAGAGGAGTGTGGAGGTATGACAGTGATCGGTATGTACAGGAGAGGAGTGTGGAGGTATGACAGTGATCGGTATGTACATCTCTGACTGTTACAGTCGATGGGGCCCCTCCTCCACCCTCAGGTTAGGGGGCGTACACCACATACCCACAATTACTGTGTCAGGAATGGACTCAGCACTGGTGGTGGGACTCACCTGCCGTGTGGGCTGCAGTACCAGGGCTGACCAGCGGGTGCTCTCAGCAACCAGAAGCTCACTCCTACAATGAGCCATCACCTGAAACTGATTACACAGGTGTATTTAAGGAATGGCCAGGCTGTGATCAGGGCCTTGGTGTAATGTCAGGGATCCAAGTATGACCAGAAATGTGTGGACTGACACAGGGAAGTAGCAGGCTTCAAGAACACAGGCGTAGTCAGGCTGGAGAGGTGGAATGGTCAGGCTTGCCATAAGGTACTGTCAGGTGCCGACTGGCAGTGTCTCTAGCAGCCCACAGCACGGATTTCCTCAGGGCGCGGGGTCCAAGTCCCAGCCTGCTATTCACCAGGGACCCTGATGGTGGGGATGGACTTGGTGCAGACTGGAACCAGGTCGCGACCCCCTGAGTGCGTCCGGCTGTGGTAGAGAGTACTGCCAGGGGAGTGCAGGAACGGAGTCTGATGGGAAGAGGCAGGCAGACTTACTAAAGGTGATCCGTGCGGGATGGATGAATCACCGGGTGAAGTAAGCGTCAGGCGTAGTCAGGCAGGCCAGGTCAGCAATGTGCGGGCAGCGAGGTACCGGAGAAGCAGGCAGAGAATAGTCAGGGTCACAAGCCGGGTTCAGTAACTCACGGGCAGCACGTTACAGAGGATCAGGCAGAAGGATGGTCAGGCAAGCCAGGGATCAAGCAGGAGAAGTCAGCAGAGGTCAGGATCAGGCAGGGTCGGCAACAAATCAGATAGTAGCAGAACAGGAACACAGGGTACAGGGGCTCATGGGAAACATACATCAAGGCCCTGATCACAGGCCTGGCCATTCCTTAAATACACCTCCTGCAATCAGCTCCAGGTGATGGCTCATTGTAGGAGTGAGCCTCTGGTTGCTGAGAGCACCCGCTGGTCAGCCTTGGTACTGCAGCCCACACGGCAGGTGAGTCCCACCACCATTGCTGAGTCCATTCCTGACATACTGTTTGTTTCCTCCCTTTGGAGCCACAAAGACTCCACCTTGTTACCGGCCCCATTAGCAATGTCATCCCTCATATTCACCATGCAATTGCATGACATACAGGCACGCCCCTCCCCCTCTTCTACCTACCTTGTTCCTCTGACACAGAGTGTACCCTTGGGTTGTCACAAGCCAGGTTTCTGACATTCCTGCCTGTTGGTTTTATTTCAGCGGTTCCTTCCCTGGACTGCATAGTGAAGGTTAAGGACAATGTCTGTGTCGGTGAGAATTTGGATCTGTCCTGTAGGATTCACTCATTTTACCCGCCGGACATACAAGTCACATGGTACACGGAAGATGACGTCATGTTACCATCAAACAGCACTGACCCCCTCCCAGAAAATGAGGGACTCTATCATACCACCAGCACTTGTAGTTACACGGTAACAATGAAGGATCTGAAGAAGATCTTCCGATGTCGGGTTCAGCATGTCAGCCTATCGAATCCGAAGCATGTGACCTGGACCCTGACAGAGATAAGTGAGTGAGACCAATCTGTGCCAATGTGATGGTGGAGGAGGAAACCGGAGTCACACCTGACTCAGCAGAGGGGTCCAACCCGTGCTCAGCATCCAAGTTGTCCTCCAAACACTGGATACAACAAGCAGGAAGAGCCGGCAACATCCTCATGAAGCTTTATTAATGATACAGGAGTGACATATAAGTACTCTGACGTGTATCGGCACATAGCCCTGATCACAGCATCCTGACGTGTATCGGCACATAGCCCTGATCACAGCATCCTGACGTGTATCGGCACATAGCCCTGATCACAGCGTTCTGACGTGTATCGGCACATAGCCCTGATCACGGCGTTCTGACGTGTATCGGCACATAGCCCTGATCACGGCGTGCTGTGAGCAAGCCTACTTGCCAAAACGTGTCAGAATGTTTTTATGTCACTCCTCAATCACTAATAAAGCTTTCATGTGGATTTTGGAGTTGCCGGCTCTTCCTGCTTTCAGGACAAATCTCCCCGTATAATATAACGTCACCTCTGAGACAATCTGCCACAAAATTTGCAGTCCAGCGGTGTATGAGCCTACATATAGAGACCAGCAGTGTATGATCCTACATATACAGTGCAGGAAATGTGTATTTGCTCCCCCTGATGGTGAATGTTCGCCCCTCACACAGAAACGATCGGTCTAACAATGGAATGTTCCCCCTCACACAGAAACGATCGGTCTAACAATGGAATGTTCGCCCCTCACACAGAAATGATCGGTCTAACAATGGAATGTTCGCCCCTCACACAGAAACGATCGGTCTAACAATGGAATGTTCCCCCTCACACAGAAACGATCGGTCTAACAATGGAATGTTCGCCCCTCACACAGAAATGATCGGTCTAACAATGGAATGTTCGCCCCTCACACAGAAATGATCGGTCTAACAATGGAATGTTCGGTGTAACACTGAGAGACAGAATACAACAACAAATTCAGCAGAAATGCGTCTAACAAATGATGACGGATCTGCATGTTCATGAGGGAAAGAAGGATTTGATCCCCTATCATTCAGCAGGATTTCTGGCTCCCAGGTGTCTCTCATACAGGTAACAAGCTGAGATTAGAAGCAGTCTCTTAAAGGGAGTGCTGCTAATCTCATTGTGTTACCTGTATAAAAGACACCTGTCCACAGGAGCCATCAAACCATCAGATTCCAAACTCTCCACCATGGCAAAGACCAAAGAGCTGTCCAAGGATGTCAGGGACAAGATGGTAGACCTACACAAGGCTGGACTGGGCTACCAAACTATGGCCAAGCAGCTTGGTGAGAAGGTGACAACAGTTGGTGCAATCATTCACAAATGGAAGAAACACAAAACAAGTGTCAGTCTCCCTAGGTCTGGTGCACCATGCAAGATCTCACCTCGTGGAGTGTCAATGATCATGAGAACAGTGAGGAATCATCCCAGAACTACACGTGAGGATCTTGTCAATGATCTCCAGGCAGCTGGGACCACAGTCACCAAGAAAACAATTGGTAACACACTACGCCGACAAGGACTGAAATCCTGCAGTGCCCGCACGGTCCCTCTGCTCAAGAAAGCCCATGTCCAGCCCGTCTGAAGTCTGCCACTGAACATCTGAATGATGCCGAGGAGGACTGGTGGGAAGTGTTGTGGTCAGAGGAGACCAAAATCCAGCTCTTTGGCATCAACTCAACTCACCGTGTTTGGAGGAGGAGGAATGCTGCCTATGACCCAAGAACACCATCCCAACTGTGAAACATGGTGGTGGAAACATTCTGCTTTGGGGGTGTTTTTCTGCTAAGGGGACAGGACAACTGCACCACATCAAAGGGACGATGGACGGGGCAATGTACCCTCAAATCTTGGGTGAGAACCTTCTTCCCTCAGCCAGGGCATTGAAAATGGGTGGTGGATGGGTGTTCCAGCATGACAATGACCCAAAACACACGGCCAAGGCAACAAAGGAGCGGCTCAAGAAGAAGCACATTAAGGTCCTGGAGTGGCCTAGCCAGTCTCCACACCTTCATCCGATGGAAAATCTGTGGAGGAGCTGAAAGTTCGAGTTGCCAAACGTCAGCCACCAAACCTTCATGACTTGGAGAGGATCTGCCAAGAGGAGTGGGCCAAAATCCCTCCTGAGATGTGTGCGAACCTGGGGGCCAACTCCAGGAAAAGTCTGACCTCTGTGATTGCCAACAAGGGATTGGCCACCAAGTACTAAGTCATGTTTTGTGAAGGGGATCAAATCCTTCTTTCCCTCATGAACATGCAGATCCGTCATCATTTGTTAGACGCATTTCTGCTGAATTTGTTGTTGTATTCTGTCTCTCAGTGTTACACCGAACATTCCATTGTTAGACCGATCATTTCTGTGTGAGGGGCGAACATTCCATTGTTAGACCGATCATTTCTGTGTGAGGGGGGAACATTCCATTGTTAGGCCGATCGTTTCTGTGTGAGGGGCAAACATTCCATTGTTAGACCGATCGTTTCTCTGTGAGGGGCGAACATTCCATTGTTAGACCGATCGTTTCTGTGTGAGGGGCGAACATTCCATTGTTAGACCGATCATTTCTATGTGAGGGGCGAACATTCCATTGTTAGACCGATCGTTTCTGTGTGAGGAGCGAACATTCAGCATCAGCAGTCAAGAAAATATGCATTTCCTGCACTGTATACAGACCAGCAGTGTATGGATGAGCCTACATATACAAACATTTAGAGTTAGGCATGCAATAAGGGGGGGGGGGGGGTGTAACGGAACCGACCCAGACTGCACTTGGGTACTTCTGTTAGACTTCCCCATCCGAACACCGACCACAGACACCACCGCTGACCATACAAGACCAGACAACACCAGACTTGCAGGTAGACTAGTTTATTTGAACACAGATACAAGATATATACACTCAGGGGCAATCCCCCCTCCCTGCATAATGACACAGGGCGGGGCAATCCCCTCTCCCTGCATAATGACATAGAGCGGGGCCATCCCCCCTCCCTGCATAATGACACTGTGCTGCAATCTACATTTAGTAATAAGAGACACACCAGCAGACAGTCCCATCAGGAGGGAGGGCTGCTGGAGACACCCCCCCCCCCCCCACCAAGCCAATACATACACATACATCCCATAATAGTTTGCTCCCAAGCCAGACACACAATAGAAACAATGGGATGCAACCACATGACACCAAACAATCCACAACCCCCCCCCCAATATTAGGACAGATCCCCCTGTACCACTAACAGGCACAGGGGGACTTACACATAAGAGGGATATGGGGAGCTGAGACAGGGGTCTCCCCACCTCTCCAAAGGGGGCTGTATTCCATGAGCCCCCCACCTAAGGTGGGGTGACAAAAATTCTCTATTGAGCCATGTTTTTGCCGCCCGTCAAGCTGTGTTGGCAAAGGTCACCCAACTTGTAGGGATCGGTGGGTGTCATGCCCATTGACGTTACACATTCAGGTAAACGGAGAAGCAGTGTAAACGTCCCGCAGCAGCAAGCGGTGCACATGCTTGTGGCGTGTTTGTCGGTTAAAACTGGAGGTGAGGAGGCGGAGCCATACAATGCAAGGCATGCATCCCACCCACGCATGCACGCCCCACCCTCTCCCAGCACATGCAGCGGTTGGTATGCAGTAGGTGCACTATGGGCTGTTCACTTTGGAAGGGAATTTCCCCGAGGCGCTGATGACTTCCATCGTCCAATCGTGTGCTTTCATGTCTTCTCGCTGCGTATGATTGGATGTTCTTTGCAAAGTGAATCTTCACCACTCTCAGCTCCCTCTGGGGGGACTCCTTTCTACAGTGAACAGCCTCCAATGAATCGACCCGAAAAGTCTGGTGTGACTTCTCCCGATCTCCTCCTTCCAGCCTGTGCTGCTCGCCTGTCATCTCTGACGCCTGTTATCTCTGCTCATCTGTTATCTCTGCTCATCTGTTATCTCTGACGCCTGTCATCTCTGACGCCTGTTATCTCTGCTCATCTGTTATCTCTGACGCCTGTTATCTCTGACGCCTGTCATCTCTGACGCCTGTCATCTCTGACGCCTGTTATCTCTGCTCATCTGTTATCTCTGCTCATCTGTTATCTCTGACACCTGTTATCTCTGCTTGTCTATTATCTCTGACGCCTGTCATCTCTGCTCATCTGTCATCTCTGACGCCTGTCATCTCTGACACCTGTCATCTCTGACACCTGTTATCTCTGCTCATCTGTCATCTCTGACGCCTGTCATCTCTGACGCCTGTTATCTCTGCTCATCTGTTATCTCTGACGCCTGTCATCTCTGACTACTGTTATCTCTGCTCGCCTGTTATCTCTGCTCCCCTGTTATCTCTGCTCATCTATTATCTCTGCTCGCCTGTTATCTCTGCTCGCCTGTTATCTCTGACGCCTGTTATCTCTGCTCATCTGTTATCTCTGCTCATCTGTTATCTCTGACGCCTGTCATCTCTGCTCATCTGTTATCTCTGACGCCTGTTATCTCTGACGCCTGTTTATCTCTGCTCATCTGTTATCTCTGAGGCCTGTTATCTCTGACGCCTGTCATCTCTGACGCCTGTTATCTCTGCTCATCTGTTATCTCTGACGCCTGTCATCTCTGACACCTGTCATCTCTGACGCCTGTCATCTCTGACTACTGTTATCTCTGCTCACCTGTTATCTCTGCTCCCCTGTTATCTCTGCTCATCTATTATCTCTGCTCATCTATTATCTCTGCTCATCTATTATCTCTGCTCGCCTGTTATCTCTGCTCGCCTGTTATCTCTGCTCGCCTGTTATCTCTGCTCGTCTGTTATCTCTGCTCGCCTGTTATCTCTGATGCCTGTTATCTCTGCTCACCTATTATCTCTGCTCACCTCTCTGTTATCTCTGCTCGCCTGTTATCTCTGCCCGCCTGTTATCTCTGATCGCCTGTTATCTCTGCTTGCCTGTTATCTCTGCTCATCTATTATCTCTGATGCCCATTATCTCTGACACCTGTTATCTCTG